CCAGAGATTTGTGAGCCGTTGCGTTCTGAAACTGCCTGCGCACAAATTTTGCATATCCTTCAGTCCTTCAATAAGCGGTGGCATGCTTCCAAGAATGCGCGCCGCTTGGAAGAGAAACGTCCACGAAAGCGCTGGGAACTCTTTCAAATCCCAACCCCTCTCCGAATCTGACTCTGTGTTTGTGAGGCCGGCAGCGTCGAGCTCGAGGCAGCGGCGGCCGCTGAAGCCGAGCTCCTGAACGACCTGGATGCCGAGCAGCTCAAGGAGGCTTTTGCTGGGGAGATGTGGGGAGCTTGGGTGTGAGGAGAAATTTTGATCCGATGGTTTCTTTTGTGTTTTTTGGGGATCCGTGCTCTAGGAGAGGCTAAGCTCTGCACGTCCTGTTTGAGATCGTCATTATCGCCATTGGGGCCCTGTGAGCTGGAGGTCAAGAAGAAGAGGGCCAAGCAAAAAAAGAAGCAGAAGGAGAAGGAGAGGAAAAACCAGGCACTCTCTCAGCAACTCTCTGCAACTCTCTGCATCTCCGCCACGTCTCCGCCTCTGGGGTTCATGACGTTTCTTTGCGGTTTCGATGTGCGATGCGAGGTTCTGCCAGAGGACGTTTCCGAGGAGCCAGACACGAGAGAATCGAGAGACGAGGCCCCGGAGAGCGAGGACGAAGCCGAGGAAGAGGACCCGGTGCCGGGGGGAAGGGGGCACGGTGGGACTCTCTTTTTCTCGGCTTTGAGGCAGTATTTATCATAGGCAAAACTACAGCCCAGTAACCCCCCAAACGCTCAAGGCAGGCTGGAGCCAAGCTCTCAAGGCTTTTGACCTTTTGAGGTGCACTCGGAGCTTCACCTCGAGATGGAGGCAGGAAAGTGTGAAATGGGAGATGCTGTGAGTGAAAGTTTTCCGCAAAAGCTAGTGCACATCTCAGCTCCTCGGTCAGGACCCCGAAGCGCAAGAGTCCGACGAAGAAGGTCTTGGAGTTCTTGTTTTTTTTTGGCAACTTACAAGTTGCCTCAGGTTTCGAAGAGGTCGCCCGAGGCAAGAAGCGCGGCAAGTGTGGAAGCCAAGGAGCACAATTTTGTGCATGGGAAATTTTCCTGAGGCCCTTTACATGCCGAGAAGTTGAGATGCGATCATGCCAGTGTACCCAATCAGGAAAATAATCAACTACATTGAATTCCAAAAACTGATGGCACCTGCCCAGTATGTTGCTCAACATGCAAAAGAAGGAACATGAAGGACCCGACGTATGAGTTGGCAGAGCTCGCGCGCTTGCATGCGCTTGCATACTGCTTTCGGGCCCTGTGGATACATTTTGAGGGGTTTTCTTTCTCTTCCGACGTGCCGTCAACTCTCATGGTATGAAAGCCTTACAGGGATGAACGGGCTGTGAAAAAGAAAACGTCTCTACCCAATGGGCTACCCTCGCTCTTGTGAACCTTTTTTGAAACAGCTCGCTGACCCAGCCTCAGCCTCAAAGTGTCCCATCGCTTTTGTGCTTGTAGACCCAATTGGGAAAACCTTGAGGGCTTTTTGCGCAGCAGGTAGCTTTTGACAAAATTCGTAAGCATTTTTTCACAGCTGGAGTTGAGAAAGCCGCCTTTAGGAGCCCCACCTCTTTTTCTCATTGTCAAGGAGTGGCTGAGCCTCGGGTGCTGTCCAAATGGCACAGTTCAGCTAGTGCATCTTGGGGCAATGGGCAATGCTCCATTCGCAGCGCCTCCAGCACTCTCAGTTGACTGTTGGGAGGGGGCGGAGTGCAGTTCCGACCGGCCCCGGTTAGGGGATAGTGGTAGTGTTGCAGCGCATCGTGGCCAGGGTCACGACAGGCATAGCATGAAAAAATCAATTCACATGGGGATTCTGAAGCTAGGGTTGCAGAAGCAAAAAGGCTCATTGGGATAAGGCGGCGTTGAGGGGAAGCAGGCCTCTTCCGCGCGTCAGCTGCGGGCCGACGTGTGCGTTCCCTTCCGACTTGCGCCGCTTCTATGATTCATTTGATTTGCACAAGCTTGCTGCGAAAGCGCTTGAGTTGAGTTCCCCGCCGCCGCTGCTTCATCACCACCTTTGCGTGCGTCTTGTCCTCGCATTGTCGTGGCTGTGGCAGGTTGTCCCACGGCCACGTCGGTGGCTGTTAATTCCTAAACATATGCCTAACCCACAGTTGAGCTTGTATGTGTAGCATTCCTGTATTGCTTGTAACTTGTGTATTTGGCTCAAGCCTTACCTCGATAGCTAGGGGTAGTTACCTCCTTAGACAATGCATTGAGGATACACTGGCAAGCATACAGGTTGGAGTGAGCTCGTGAGACCGCCATTGAGAAAAGTGTGTGAGCGATCAGCCTTTGAGGTTTGCGCTGTGCTGGATTATCACTATCTATTCGTGCAGTCGACCTTTTACAGGTTATCAGCCGTAGGGGCTGGTATTCAACCGTATGCTGTCAGTGGAAGCAAGTTCGGGTTCCACCAGTACAAATCAGACTGCCACCTTTGGGTACTCTATGAGTGATACTGCTGAGGCGGTGCATGCAGCGCCTGCCCGTGGTACAGCGATAAATCGGCGATAAAGGATAAACCCGAGGGGCATGGGACTCCCACCCCGAGGGACCGAAATTCCCCTGGCTCGACCAGGCGCCCTCGGTCTCCCATTGCGAGTGGTGCTGTAAGGGAGGTGTCCTCTTCTTCAGGCATGCTACACCATCCCCCAGGCGCAAGGCTTCGGTCATCAAGAAGTCGAAGTCGAGTCCTGAGTCTGCCGCGCAAGATCCAGAAAGAAGTGGCCATTCACTAATTAGGAGGAAGGTATTGTCTGCGAATGTAGATAGGACCGATGATCTTGATATGCCAGCCACTGTTAGTATGGGAATTGCTGGCATGGCTAGTCCACCAGCGCAAGCTACAATGGATGATTCTGGTGGTTTGAATCTCGAACAGGCTTTGTCACTACTCAGAGCTGAGAGGGAAGCTTACATGGAACTCCAAAGTCAGGCATTCACAGATACTGCCTTGCTGAGAACGCATCTGCAGAATGAAGAACAAGAATGTAGAGGCTCGGCAGAAAGGATAGCACAATTGGATCGATGGAGAGCAATGTCAGAGCTGCAGGCTCAACGTTTGAATTCAAAGTATCACAATGACATTTCCCAAAAGGACACATTGATTGCGGAGCTAGAGCGAAAGAGCAAGATTCTTGAGCAACAGGTTTCAAATGCTGATATAGAACTTCATGGCCTTCGAGATAGGTATAAGCAAGAAGCAACAGCCGTGGTACATCTGAAAGGAGCCTTTGCTGACTCTGAGGCCATCCGATCTGAACTGGTTGAAAGGTTAACGACAAGGCCCGTCTTGATGCTCACCGTGAACATAGCATGCATCAAGTGATGGACGAGTTGAATAGAACCATTGCTGGATTTCGTGAGTCGGAGTTGGGGTCAGAGAGCGAACAGCATAAGATCTTCCTTGGCTCAGGAATTGACCGGTGTGGAGCACCGTGTCATTGAGCAAGTTGCGTTGATATCTCATGCTGAACAAAGAATGAACGAAGAATATGCTTTCATGTGTCAATCTAAGCAGAATGCTGACGCGGCGCTCCGACAGGAGATTGATCAGCTTGTTGGTGAGCGTAACAGGAGTCACCTCGAGCTCATGGAAGAGACCAAGGAGGCTGGTGTGCTTCGCAGAGAGATGTTGCGTAAGGATGAACGCGTCATGCAACTTCAGCGTTCGTTAGAGCAAGCAAACAGTGCCAAGATCAACTCTCCTGATGATGGAGAAAAGAAGAAGTTACGCGATGCCGCGGATAGCTGGCAGAACGCACGTGTGAAGTTAGAACAGAGGAACGAGTCGCTACGCGAACAGCTAGCAGATCAAGAGTCTTATGTGGAACAGCTGAACGGGGCTTTGGAACAAAAGGATGAAGAAATGAAGACCAAAACAAAGAGATGTTGAAGCCTACTGGTGCGGTTACTACTCGAAAGTCACAATGGGGTGATAATGGTCGAGATCTACTGAGCGGGGGTTCTGTGTTTCACATTCATTCGTCCACGGACGCTGCTTTGGCTAGCGCAGGAGCTCCTTTGTTTGACACTATCATTAATTCTCGGTGCCAGGGTAACGTAGGGCTAATGCAGATGACATCGTTCAGTCATGGTTTTCCAGCTGATAACAGTGCCAGATCATCCGGGACTGGTGGCAATGGTGGATCTGGTCCGTCCGGATCGCAGCCAGATGGAAGGAATAATGATGATCTAGGAGGTGGCGCGTGCGGATTTTTTCCCCGCAACAGCTTTCACCCAGCAGCCGCGTTGGTCCAGTGGGCACCAACCTCCGGATACGAACAGCAATGATGTGTCCACAGACGTAACTGCTGGCAACAGAGGTCTGACTGAGTTGTATCGTGTTGTCAAGCAAGTGGCGCCCAAGAAAGGTCGAAGAGAGCTTCAGTTGCGGGGCGCGCACGGCATGCCCCTCATGGCCAGTCAAGAGTTTGAGAGCGGTGCCAAGTTCTATGAAGAATTGTATCTAATGCCACGTGCGGCCAACAAGGCCCAATGGCCTGGCGCCGAGATGCCACAATTCTCACCAGTCGAAGTCAAGTCCGCGCTTGCCTTGAGAGGCCCTTCCTCCGCAGTGAACAAACTGGAGAGCTACAGCTGGGGCAAGAATGGCGCACCGCGCATATGTACCTCATGCTAGAAGCGTGGTTGACGTTACACTCATTGCCCTACTCTCCCCATTTGCAAAGACCTTGCGCAAAGGTTACGTCCCTATGTTCAGCAAGCGGTGGCTGCGCTACCATTGTTTGCATATATCAGTGGCCGTCAGGCAGAGGCTGCTCTGGACAGAGTCTCTTCCCATTGAACGCGTGTCAGGTTACTTGCCAAGGGGTCGTGCCATCCCATTGCACGCCAACGTGGCGGGGCCAGGTCAGAGTGCGCAGGGGGCGTTCAATTATCTTTGGGTTTGTCAAAAGCCTATGATAAGGTTCCATGGCCCAGACTTTTTTGTTTGCGCTCAGAAGAGCTAACGTCGAGCCTGAGCTTATGAATCTGATTTTCTATATTCGTACGGAATCTTGACTCGTCTCCAAACATCACGATCAGGCGGCTTGTGTCTCTCTTGGTAAAGGTATATGACACGGAAATGGGTGTTCCGCAATCCTTCTGAGTTGCAGGCCTGCTTGAGTCAGATCAGAGGGATTATTTGCATTGTTTGCACTCTTGGAGCTATGCAATGGAAATCAGCTTGGGCAAAACTGTGGTTCTGATGAAGCATACAGGCGGGAAGGCTTCTTGGGCGCTCAGAAAAGTGGTGCAAAAAGACGAGCAAGGCAGACGGATTCCCATAAAGCCCAGTCATATGTACTTGGGAGTTGTGATTGGTTTCTAAAATTTTGAGAAGCTCACGTTGCGATATAGGTTGAAGCAGATGTGCGCGACCTCTCAGGTTCTTCGGTCCAACGTAGTGCCAATGTACACGCGGCTGCAACTTTGGAGGTCAACCTGGCTTGCAACCTTCACGTGTGGCGTCACTAGCTGTGGCCTGCCTGCAGATGGTGTGAGCAAGATTGCGGCCGTGGTTGCCAAACAAGCCAGGATGCTTATGAAAAGTCCGTCCTACATCACACGTGAGAACAACCACACTCTTTGGCGCAGGCTGGGGTTGCCGGACCCCATGGACACCTTGCGCTCCCTGCTGAGGAGACATTTGCAAAGTGCCGAGGAAAATGTAATTGAACTCCAGTCGCAACATGTTCAGCAGTGGTGGGATGTTCTTCCCACACATTTCCAGGCCCTTTGCTTTGTCCCAGCAAGTTCACAGGAGGATCAGTCTGCTTTGGATGTTCGCGCCGGGACTGATTCTCAGGCCCAGGTCACGACTGCGCCTGTGCCAGCCTCCTTAAAAGAAGTCACTGCAGTTGTGGACCCTGTCACTTGATTTGTGGTCTGCCTGTTCCATGCGCTGCCAGTCTCAGAGTTCACCATACCAAGAAGCGTGGAGGAGGTGGTGTCCAGAGTGCTGTCAAGGCCAAAGCAGCAGTCAAAGACAAGAGCTTGCGTTGCCAGCGCATGGTGCATGCGCTGAATGGTGTTCCGAAGTGCAAGACTTGCCTGAAGGAATTTGGAGGGTGGCCCCAGTTTGCTTACAATTTTTGAAAATCAAACTTGAAAAGTTTCTCACAATACCCGGGGAAATTGCAGCGCAGAGCCTGCGCGTGAGGACGACAGTGCCCTGCTGGCAACAAGCAATCCTGAGGTTAAGGCTCCACCTCACATGGGACTCATGGCAGACCCTGCATTTGTCTCCATTGCTCAGGGAGAGTGGCAGACTATTGCTCGTGAGATCAAGAAAAGCGATCAACTTCATCATTGCCCCATTTGCCATCAGTGGCTTTGGCGCCGTCACATTAAGCAGCATGCGAGCATGCGTGCAAATGAGCCTTTCTTTCAGACTTGGCTCCAGGATGGGGTCCCCGACCTTGGACAGCCCGTAAGTGGTGCGGAGCCAAGTCTATCTCTCTCTTGCGCGGTGCTCTGCCAGACGTGTCTGTGTCAACAACTTGCGCAGGATCATGTTCGAAGATGCCGAGCTAGCGAGGGCAACACAGGAGCTGGCGATGTTCATGGCAATGGGGTACGCCTCCGCAGCATCGGATGCCCCGATGACAACGGTGTCAACCACAGGCCGAGAACCAGCTCAGGAGCCGGCAGAGACCAGCACCATTCGCCATCAATGCAACGTGAAATTACATTTGTGCTTGATTGAAATAACTTCAGTCCTCTTGCTTTGCTATCAGTCCATGTACCGGTCATGTAACACAACTGCATTGCATGTTGTTGTTGTTGCTGATGTCAAGGTCCTAGGGAGTCAATACTCGAGTGCGCGTAGTGAGAGTGGAAAAGGACAAAGACGCCAGCTCGCCTGTCTATTGTACACTTTAGCAAGGTAGTTCACGCTCGGGCCAATCTCATGGGCGGGATGGCTTTGCGTCTCCGTGGCCTCTCCGCTGGCTTCTTGGCCGGGCGGGCTAAACGCACCGGGTCTGATGTGCAAATTGCTACAAGGATGCTCTTCTCATCCAACGCTTCCGTTCGTAAAAGCATTTCTCCAGACTTGTGGAAATGAAGGCTGTGCTTCCAAACTCACTGGAAGCAGCCTGCACACATCAACAAATTTGAGCTGCGAATCGATGATGATGGCGCTTGCCGTAGAACATGAGCTCCGCCAGCCAGACTGTTCCGACTGTCGCCTGCTGCAGCTTACAGGTTCTTATGTGTCCAGGTCCGTTATTGCAAGAAGTAGGTCATTCAGTCGACCCTCACACCGCTGCCTTTGGCGCCTTGCCGCCTAATTACTGGCCTGTTCTCTCCACCTGCTGGTGGGGCACGTGGATAGCAGGACAGGACTCGACATAGGTATCGGTATATGGCAGCGTTGCGCCAAATTCAATGGGTCCTAGACATGGCCCAGTCCATGTCACATCTTTATCATCTGCTTGCCGGCTTCATTGAGGACGGTTGGGAACAGGGCTTTGGCCTTTCTTTCAAATCGGTGATATTTTCTAGGCTTTTCATCATGTCGTTCCTCCCTCCCGCAGAAACCTCCGAACAAGCTGGCGCCTTTTTCGAACTTGGCACCGTGTGGAACGTCCAAGTCGGGCACCCCCCTTCCTGCAAGTGTGGTGCTGGTTTTTGCCACGCGTGCGCTTCAATACGACCGTTTGTGTCTCGCCGCACTGTTGATGGTGGGGTTCCATAGTTTTCTTGTTGCTGCACACTCATGAGATGCTGTACATTCGTGCGCAAGACTTTCTGTTCGGCCCCACCCAGGGCATCTTGCAAATACCAGTTAATATTCTGGAGTCGGTGATTATCTACGACCAACAAGTCATGCTTGCTCGCGCGCATTTGGTTGCGGGTGAACCAGTACGATGGACCTCTTTGGCCACATTCCCTGCGCTGGTCCAAGTCTTTCATCTGCAGTCTTTTGGCTTTCGGCCAAAGAGCTCTCATCCGTGGACGGTGGCAAAGCACCGCGGTGGCAAGACAGTACATCACTGAAGGACTTGCGCTGCTTCCCTCTCTCCGCTGCTCCCCTGCCGTGGCGGAGCAATTGCGACAGGCAGCGGCGGTGTTCACGGCCAGCTCTTCGGGGTGAGCGTGGAAAGACGCTACTTAGGCGTCATTTTTCTGCAGAAGGCTGTAAAAACTTCCTAGTGAACGCCGGCCGGCGTGTGCACTCCCCGTTGAGTTTGGAGCACGGATCCCAATCTCTTAGGGTGGAAGGCTGCCTTGTCAGCTTCCTCACACTCCCTTCGTGGATTGGCCAGAAAAGGAAACACACTGTGAACGCAAAAACTTGTGCAGCGAGGGTGAAACTTTGATTTCTCGCCATTGCAATCGCATGTTTGAGGACCAATGCATGACGTTCTCGTGTACGGGCTACCCGCGCCTCTATGGCTGAGTCAAAAACACCTGCCCGCCCTCTGACATCGAAGGGGGGTAGGGCTCTGGAGAGGGTGGAAGTTTTCGAGGTTTTGAAGAAAGGTTAGGGACGGTTAGGACAGCGGAAACGACCAGATCCTGGCTTATTCCTTCCAATCGTCAGGACTTGATCAAAGCTTCACGTCTTGTACAAGGTCTTCCAGTAGCACCGAGCTACAGAAAGGACGACGTGACTTCCCGTAGATAAGGCAAGCACCATCAGACAGTGCAAAAGTGCCACAGGATCTGATGGCCCTCGGGCGCTGGACAGCGAAGCATCGGAGGAGCCTTCTGCTAGCCCAAGTCTTGCGCTTTCAGGAAGCCAGCAAGGCCATCAAGGCCAACAAGATCAGGAGATTTTGGGCAACGTTGGCGCTCCTGAAGCGTTCCCAAGCACATCAAGCCGGGCATCGGTCTCCACGGGCCTCTTCCAGGCTGATCGTCAATGGGAGGCAAGGAAGAGTGCTCCAAATGTGGGAGCTAGCTGGCAGCATGTGGTTGCATATGGCAACACGTGAAAATCTTGCTGGACAGGCTTTAGAAGGAGGCACTTTAGCGGCAGGGGCCTTGTCTTGCCTCCATCATAGATCTGGGGTTGTGATTTTTTGCAAAGGTCCAGCGTGGGACGTGCGTCTGGGTTCTGCAGCTAGACCCCAACAGCGATTGGGCTCTTGGCCAAGTCTTCAAGGAGCCTGCGAATTTCTGAAGATTTTGGTGTCCCAGGCGATGCGCAAAGTTGAGCAAACAGAAACAACAGTGTAATTTGCCAGATTGCTTCTTTTCAGCTAGCTCGTATTTGTTTCCAGTTCCAGATACGCTCACGAGCGTGCCACCCTGAATATTTCCTAGGTAAGTGCTCGAAGGTCAGGGGCTGTGTGTCCGTGAGGACTGGACAATGCAATCTGCTGCTGGTTGGGTTCCCCGCTGCGTGCTCACGTTGGCACACTTCAGGGTGCTGCTTGGCCGCAATGGCGAGAGTGAAGGGTGAAGTTGTCCTTTCATAGCACCGGAAGGTACAGCCCCTACGACCCCTCAGAGCATGCAGAGGCGGGAACATGCGGGAACGATTGATAATTTTTGGAGTTAAAATTTTGTGCTTTCGTTGAGGTCCAGGCCATGGCGTTGAAGCCGGGTGACTTGGTGACGGTCCAAAACTTCGGCAACGGCTGGAGTTACGGTAGCCGAGTGGGGCCGCTCGCTTACTCCGCTTTGCTCCGCTTTGGCTTTGGCAAAATGCCTTGACGGATTTTTCTCACAGACGCTTTGCTAGGCCTGGCGGCGCTCACGAAGCCCACGGCTGGTTCCCTCAGGCCGTTTCCATCAGACGGAAAGTTGAAAAAAGCAAATTAGTCAATCTTCAGCTCATGACTGAGACCTGCATCTTCCAGCCGCTCCCACTGCAGTGAGATCGGCCTGCAGACCTGAGTAGCCTGAAGCTTGTGAGGAAAAAGACGAAGCAGTAGCTGGATCTTGTAAATTTACACCCCAAAACTACATCATGTGTCGGGCCACTGATGATTCCTTTGCGCTTTATTATCGAATCTATTGGTTTGCGCTGCGGCAATTTTTGTTGGATCTAGAGGCTTGCTTGAGGGGGCAGGGCCCGATTGAAGCATCAGGTTGAGGGGAGAGGAGTCGCCTTGCATGTTGGTCAGTCTATCATGCCGCTGGCTTGTTTTCCTTACTATGGTTCGTGGGAAACTTCTGGAACTGTGCTTAGAGCTTGACGGGGCCGTATATCGCTACACGACTGACTGGGAGGCTATGAATTGAATAATGAAGTCCACGTACGGGGTGTTTTGATTGAAGGGAGTAATGGGTTACTATGCAAAGTCATGATTGATCAGGGTCTCCCAGATTTCTATGAGTTTGTCTTCATTGGATAAGAACAAATGAGCTACCGTCAATATTGGCTTTCTTAAGGAACCCTTAACAGTGGACATAGGGGTCCTAGTAGTTTAGTATAGTCCCTCAGAAGTGACTGAATGATGAATGGACGTGTTTCCTGCATATTCTATCCTTTAGCCTTTAGCTGTAGCTGTCAAGGCTTCCTGCACGTGAATGTGGATACGATAGCTTCCAAAGGAATGTAACTGCTTGTTTCAGGGCATCCAACTAGCTTCCAAATCTTGTCCTCCTGCCTTTTCCTAGCACAAATGATAGCAGTATAGACATGAAACGGGCCTCCATACATTGAGAAGTCATAGGATGGCTTCCGTCGAAGAGAATTCTACAGGTGACCAGATTTCACTCAGAGTGAATGCAGCTTGGGTTGCTTCCTGTTCTCTTTTCACCGAAGCCTTCAGTCACAAACATTGCCTGCAGGAATGAGTCGCAGAGTTGCGAGCCAAAAAGGGTTCAAGCAGCCAAGCCGAGCGTTTCGGCTGAAGGTCTGGGGAGCCCACTGGATGAGGCGGAAAGAAAGGGAGAGAAGCTGCGGTGTCAATTGCAAAGTGCTTCAAACAAAGAGGCTATGCGCAGCAGAGGGTGGCCTGGCACTGAGGAAAAAGAAAAGTACAGCTCTGCTCGCTTCGCTTCACGGAATTTCGAGGTCCGCAAGCCCTCCCCGGCGACGGCGCCGGCGCCGCCGGAGTCCGTCGCGGCGCAGCTCCAGACGCCGCTCGCGCTCAAGGCAAAGAAGCAATGCTGGTTTGGGCCATTTACAACTGATGTCAAACTTCGTAGGTCCAACCCAAACGACCGCAGACCATGGATTGAGCGCGAGAAGGCCGGGAGCTTTATTCTCAGAAGTGACTCACGTGCAAAAGGGCTGAATGCAGGGTGGCGTGAAGCTATTCATCGGGCGACTCCCGAGGGAGGTCAACAAGCGCTCCGGATGCAGACACCCACGTATGTACTGCCAGTGCTACTGGCAGTTACTGCAGGACCCAGCTCGAGGAGTGTTTCCAGGAGTTTGGTGAAGTTATCGAAGTCTTCATAATTGCATCACAGGCGTGTGCAAACCTTTGCAAGCCTTTCAGGCGTGTCCTCATGCATGCGATGCATGCGAGGCTGCAAGTGGTGTGGGTTGCGCTTTCGTGCGAATGGCCTCGCCGGGGCTCTGAGAGAAAAGAAGCTGTGACAGAAAAGCTGTGCAGCTTTGCAACTGCAGCTATCGTGGAACCTGCAGGGTTGAGGCGGCTGAAGAGGCCATCTCGGAGCTGCACGAACAGCGGGTGCCCTCCCGCCGCGTTCGCGTTCCTTTTCGTACATCCTCCGCTTTGGCCAGGTCCTCATCCCAGAGCAGGCCGATCTCGGGCCCATGCAGGCCCACTACTGCACTACGGGCCCCGTGCATGCAGTGCATGCAGTGCATAGCAGGTGCATGTATCTGCTTGTTTTAGGAAAATTGCTTTTTGCTGAAGCTTTCGGTCAGGTCGCTTTCGCCAAGGGTGAGGCGATCCGCCTTGGTATGGGCCCCTGGGAACGAGTGGTTCTTGTTAGACAACTCCTTCAGAAACTTAGGCCTTGATGAAAAAGAGGAGATCCTACCGAGCTTCAAAGAAGCACGACAAAAGGCCAGCAACTCTGCAAGTCCTGCAACTCTGCTCGTAAAGCCATCAAAAGATGCCTTGTTGAATGCATAAAGGATGCTGTTCCCGAGGCCCATCATTGACAGGAGTCAACGAATCTGAATGCAGACACGTCACGTGACACGTACATAGTTCGCACAGACTAATGTTGGGCTCATTAAGAATAACCCCCAGTTCCGGGCGGACCAATCTCAAAAAAAAAGGTGCGGGATATTGGGGGTCGTGATAAAACTCTGGGGCCTGACCTCTCTCAGAGTAGGAGCAGGAGTAAGAGTGTGAAAGGGGTGTTTGACCTTCCTTGCTTGAACAGTGTGTGTGCAGCCCTATATGCATGTCCGCTACATTTAGGGCGCCTTTCAGCCTGAATGCGGCTCGCGGAAAACGGAAGCTGGTGCGACCTTTAGTGTTGGTTCGCCTGCTTTCTCAGTGGTAGCGGAGCGCCTGTTTGTGTTTTGTGTTGGGAATCCTTTGGGCAGGGGTGAAAAGGTAGAAGGCGCACCAGCCTCCCGTAGCCCCTAGCTTGAGCGATGCCTTGCGCAATATTTGTGTTCTACGTGGACGACCTCCTCCTGTGTTACTTGGAGGAGCCGGTGAACTTCAACAACTTGGACCTGATTGGTCTCCCCGTAAGGGTTGAGGCGCAAGGACATCTTAGACTACTTGATTCGCCGGGAGCTGAAGGTAATTCTCCGTCTTCCTTTCTGTTGCTGGACGTTGAGCTTCGAAGTTAAGTTGGGCTTGTGTCCACGAGCGCACTAGCTGAGTTGCGCCTCGACCTGGAGCACATCGACTTCATCTTCTACGTGGACCTTTTCGTCTCCATCCTCTACGCGGCTTACATCCAGTTCTACTACAACTACCTCAACAACTACAACTCCAACAACCACCCCTACAACAACTGACCCATCGCCTCCCCTGTCGGCAAGACGGCGGGAAAGCGAGGAAAGAGAAGCGCTGAAGGAGCCAGGAAGCAGGCAGAAAGGGGAAAGAAACGCAGAAAGTGGAGGTTAAGAAAAAGCCTACGAAGCCGGAGGAAATGGTGTTGCCTGAAAGGAGCGCACCATCGAAGATTGAGCCGGAAGAGAAAATTAAGCCTGAGAACTCAGCCGTTATGCCAGACGGTATTGAGGTTGAGTTAGACCAAGCTCAATGGTCAATGTTAAGCAAAGAAGCTAGAGCCAGGATCATGGTTGAACAACCATCCTGGAAAGATGAGTGCTTCTACTGCAAGACATTAGGACACCGTGCTTACTACTGCAAGAGTATGCTGCAGTTGGGAACAAAGTTGACGAAGATCGTTTCGCAGCACGAGCACGGAGGCTCAGAAAAGCACACAAGAAGAGATGCGCTATTCTGCACATCGTGCTGGTGGAAGTTAACCACACAAGCACTTAAAACAGGTGCAGATATCCGCAAAGCAAGCGGATGGTGGTCGCACTCAAGGAACACGTGCAACCACAAGGCAAGTTGCCCTTTGGCGTAAGACACCGAGCTAGCGGGGATGACTCAAGAAGAACTGCGCCGCCGCCTGGCAGAGCATGGCTTAGAGATCAGCCAAGTGAGAAGAAAATTTGGAGAAGATGGCTGAGGGGAAAGAACCCCGATCAAGATCGATAAGCCTTGTTAGCGAAGGCAACGTGAGCCAGCCAGAGAAAAAGTGCAAGAAAGAAGAGAAGAAGAAAAGAGAAGAGGAGAAAAAGAAAAAGGAAGATGAGGAGAAGAAAAGGTTGGAAATGGAAATGAAGAAAAAGGAAGATGAAGACCGAAAGAAGAAAGAGAAAGAGGAGGAAGATCGGAAGCGGAAAGAAGCCGAGGAGTTCAAAGAAGCCCTTAGGGCAGTCTCGAAACAGAAGTTACACGGCTACTTGTTTGACAGTAGCTATCGCTGCAATCCAGCCAAGATGGAGCAGCAAGCAAAGTATGAGAAAAGCCTACAGTATGAAGTGTTAGCCAAAACACCGAACTGCATTAGTCGTCATGAGGAGTTGAATGAATACAACAAAAGACAAATAGAAACGCATGGAGAGCGAATGAAATTTCGCGAGGAGCAAGAAGCTGAAAGGAAGAAAGAGAAGGAAGCGCGCAAGGCCGCGCGAAAGGAAGAGAAGCGCAAAGCTAAAACTACTCTTTCGTCGCGCAGGGGCGAAACTTCCTCACTTTCGTGGTGAAACGTTAAACAGCACTAAGGCCTAATCAGGATCAGATTCAATTGATAGTAGTTTCATTTCTACCATCTTCGGCTTCTAAAGATTGAATCATCTCCTTTCTTGCGAATCCAAATCCGCTCTCATTGTTTTTTCTTCTTTTCCTTCTTTTCCTTCTTTTCCTTCTTTGCCGCCTTCTCTGCGGTCTTCTGCTTCTTTTCTTCTTTCTTGCTTTCTGTGTTACTTTGGAGAAGGACACGGACAAAAGAGAATTAGACTTTTGGTCAGCTGGAACGAGCTCAGCACCTACAGCTGACGTTGCATGCCGCAGCGGAAAAAGTCAAGTGAGAGCGCCAGTGTAGTTTGTATAGTGAAGATAGTTTGATTGATTTTAATTGGTCATTTTACTGGTTATCTTAGTCTTGGATCACGAGTTATCTTTGACATGATTGTTCGAGCGATTTGGTTAGTTGTGTTGTCTTGAAAAGGCTAAAGAGGATTGG